TGAGCTTCCTGCTTGTGACTCTGAGAGTGGAGCCCTCCACCCACTGCCTCTTGTGGACCCAGCCAGCCCAGCACCAGCTCAGGCTTCTACCAGGCCTGGGCAAGCAGTGCTGTGGACTCAGTCTGGCGGCTGAGCCCCTCTCCGCTTGAAGAACGTGGAGCCCCAGCCCACTGCCTCGGTGCTGCCTGCATCCTGGCTGCTGGGCCCCAGTGCCCGGCGCACCTGCGGGGCAGCCCATCTGGGGCCGGCTTCATCCTGGAGCCAGTGCCAGAGCTTGGCAAGCTCTGCTTCCCATTCCGTGAAGTGCAGATAATAACGAACTCACCTCAACAGGTGGCTGCAAAGGGTGAAGCAGCTGAGATAACATGTGCTGTTCTTGGCTCATTGCAGGGCTAGGGTGACTGACCATCTTGATCCACCCGGAACCTTCCTGGTTTTAGCAATGAACGTGCCACATCCCAGAAAACCCGCAGTCCTGGCCTGAGGAACACCACAGTAAGTGCCACCAGGGCCACTGTTGCTGGTTTCTTCCTCTCCTGCCATGGCCCTGCACAGGGATCGGCGTCCTCTCATGCCTCGGTGTGTGCTATGCTAGGAGCCCGGAGACCAGTCCCACAGTCTGGTGTCCTCCTGGGAGTGCTGGACTCTGCCTTGGCCTCTCCCTCTCTGCCCATCTTAGGGGAAGCCAGACCCTGCTGTGAGGGTCATGGCCGTGCCCCACTGCCCCCCAAACCTGGGGCCTGGCTCCCCTGTGTTCATGCTGATGCCCACTCAGGCCCGCAGGACCTCCAGCCCCCAGCCGGCCCCTCTGCCCCATCCTGCTCCCACACATGCATGTGTGGTCACCTCGGCTCATCTGAGCTCTGTCCACATCCCACCCTCCTCCTCTGGATGCCAGGTGCTTCCTCTTGGGACCCCCTCTCTTCATAACAACACCCATGTAGTCTCTTCCCTGACATTTAGCTATTTTTGGGGAAGAGTAAATGGCTCGGTGGGCTAGACAAGGAGAACACGGGGTAAGACAGATGGGAAGGGCTGGATTGAGAAGGACCTAGGCTGCGGTCGGTGTCTCCTACGGACACGGTGGCCGTGGGCGCTTGTCAGCAGGGACGAGGTGCATGCGGAGGGTCTCGGAAGATGGGCTGGGGAGACCCTGGGCCTGGGGTGCCTGGGAGGGAGGTAACAAGGGGCTGCCCCCACCCCCAGCCTCTGCACTTTTCCTCCTACCAGGGCCGAGATGACCTGCAGCTAAAGCCAGTTCCCCTCAAAGCCAGCTAGACTCCTGGTTGATCCTCCTAGTGCCACTTTGCCCAGGGATGCCCTAGCCTCAAATTCAAATTAATTGAATGGACATTTTGCATGGGACAGTTTCGCCCTGTGTGAGGTAGCTGGCATTTTGTTAGGAGTTTTCCTCTGATTTTCTTCCCTGTGAGCATTTGTCGTTACCCAATCCAGTACTCCAGTATTTATTACATTTGCCTACTGCAGGTAGACTTCACCAGACTGTGCTTTTCAATGTGTTCTTTTAATATTTACTTCCCCCCACTTTTGTGCATGCTGAAGCTTGTGATGTCTGTCCCTGCTTGCAGGATGCCCTCTGTGACCAGGGACCCTGAGAGAGCAGGAGTCCCTGGTGCTGTATCAGCTCCCCACACCCAAGTCGGAGCCGTAAAGCAGAAATACTCACACACATAGAAGCAGAATCTTTTTGGTTTTGCAGAAAAAAATATATTTACTTATTTATTATAAATGTAACTAAAACTCATTTAAGAATATATGGAAAGTATAAAAAGCAGAGATAAAAAGCATGCCCTATTTTTGCACCACCAAAGTCATTGTTACCAGGTGGTCCAATTCTCTTTCGTCCTGTCTCCTCTGTGAGTGTCTTATGTTTTCATACAGTTGATCATTCTATATTCACAAACTTGGATTTTTCTTTTGTTAATAAATGTTAAAACATAGCCATTTTTTTAGGTCACAAAAAAATTTTCAAAAATGTATTTTAATTGACCGTACATTTCATTGGTTAGCTTTACCATGGTTTAGTTAAGCAATCTTCCCTTATTGATTATTCCAATTTTTCCTATTATAAATACCAAAAGGAAGATCTTTGTGCCATAAATATTTTTTCCATATTTATAATTATTTTGGCTTTGGCAAATAATTTGCTAAATAGCACCAAATGATAGATTTCCAGAAGTGACATTATTTGATCAAAGAGTATGAATATTTATGGCGCTTTTGTACATATTTTAAACTGCTGTCCGAAAAACAAAAAATTGTGGTATGACCAAGCTTATTTTTTTGTGTATCAAGTTTTATGTTTTTCATATGATCAGATCTGAGTTTTCTGGTGACATTAAGACTTCTGAGCCTTGTCACATCCAACCTCCATAGGTTAAATATTCAATTACAGTTTCTTCCTTGGTTTATTTTGTTTCATTGTCATTATTGTACGTTGTTACACCCGCCTGCTTGGTGTGGTGGCATTTCTTTCAGTCCACCGTGCGAGGTGGGTGGGCTCTGCCAGCTTATAGATTAAAAATGAAGGTTAAAATAAGCTTCCTCAGCCACACGCCTCCTCTGATCCCACCAACTCTGCACCCTCTTCCTAGTGAGCCTGAGGGGCTTCCTTGCAGGTGTGGGGAGGCTTGGATGCTCTGATGCTCTATGGAATCCTGTGGAAGGCTGCCCTGTGGACAGTGTGTGACACCGTGTGGCAGGCAGGCCTCCTGCGCAGGTGTTCTGGCTGTCTTTTCTGAAAAGCCCAGCCCTGGCCTCATTCCAGGGCTCCATGAGGTCCCCTGAGCAGCCAGGTTGCCTCCCATGCTGGGCAGCTGCTCTGCCCACTAGCATCTGGCAGGAAGGATGAGCTCTGCTCTTATCTGCCCATGTTGGGTGGCTAGAGCAGAGGCCTGAACACCCCTCAGGAGGGGCTCAGGGAGGCGCTGGCCTTGACGTCCCCTCTAGCCCGGCTCACAGGTCACTTAGGAGTCCTGTTTCCCAACTCCCACTGCACTTGGCGGGATTCGGAGATGTTTTTCCCTCTTCAGCATCCATTTGGAAATGCTTCCTGAGGGCCTGGGGTGGGCTGAGCAGCGGGGCAGGTGCTTCCAGGAGTGCAGACAAGGAGCAGGGCTGCCCTCGGCAGCTAGAGGGAGTGTGGCAGCTCCCAGGACTGAAGGCAAGGGGGCCACATGGTAAGGACAGAGGGGCGGGTGTCAGGCAAGGGATGACAGTCTGGCTCTCACTGGGAGACCCTAACGGGGCCTGGGTGGACAGGTGCAGGAGGGCTTCCTGGAGGTAGTGACTGAGAGGAGGAGGCAGCTCAGGGAAAGAGGAAGGACAGGCATTCCAGGCAGAGGGCTCAGAGATACAAAGGCAGAGAGAGGGAAATGGGCATGATCCTCCCAGGACTTGGAGGTAGTGACTGAGAGGAGGAGGCAGCTCAGGGAAAGAGGAAGGACAGGCATTCCAGGCCGAGGGCTCAGAGATACAAAGGCAGAGAGAGGGAAATGGGCATGATCCTCCCAGGACTTGCAAGTAGCTGGGTGAGGGGGAGGTGAGGATACCTCTGGCCTTTGTAGACCTTCAACAATCACAGTCACCAGGACCCCTGAGTTAGGACACTGGGAGAGAAGGAGGCTGTGGTGTCTGCCAGCTGCTGAAGCAGAGAAGTGGCTTTGCAGGACAGCTCAGAGGAACACAGAGACCCTTCCTAGGTGGAGGCATAGGGCAGGGCCAGGCTCCTCGCTGCAGCCAGCGTACTGAACAGGGGATGCGTGAAGCAAAACTTAGGGTCTGGCCTTGCCATCCATCCCCCCTTCCACCCACCATGCCTGCTCGAGCTGGGCTTCAGAAGACAACAACCCGACTACTCTCACTGTCTGGCCTCCCACACACCTGGAAGAGGTTCTTCAAAGGCTGGTCCACAGAGGGGAGTAGGCAGGGAGATTGGCCACCCCCACCAGACAACCAGGGGTGGAGACTGAGCCTGGATTTGGCTGCACGACCTTGACAGCCTTCAAGTCCCTGAGCACAGCATCTGCATGTCACATGCACCTTGCCAGTCCACCCCCAGGCTTAAACATCATTCCTTAGATTGCTCTCAGGGATGCCAGGTCTCTTCCCCTCAGGCTGAGAGGCAGCTGATGGCATTCTTCCAGCTGGCCACCCACAGCCTTGCTGTGGCTCCTCTTTATGCTGAGGAGCCAGGTGTCTGGGACCCTGTGCAGCCCTGGTGCCACTGCGTCCCAGACCCTCGCCGTCTTGGGGGCCAAGCAGCGCCTCTCTGGAGCCTGTAGAGGCACCTGGCAGGCTGGCAGGCAGCTTTTATGTGCCTAGTTAGGGTTTTATGGTGCAGCCAGGCAGATCTGCGTCTGACAAGGCATGCGGGTGGTTGCAGGGTCTGTGCTCCTGGCTGGGCCTGCCCCAGAGCAGAGGCTGGCAGGGGACACCCCGGGGACCACCTTCCGAGGCCCAGCCACAGAACAGGGGGACCTGGCTGTCCCTGGCTAAGCCTTCCCTCTCCTGAGATACCTGTTTCCATTTGCTCAGAAAAGAGTTGGGCTGAGCCAGGCCTGGGTGAGTAGGAAGTGGGAGAGGAAGGCCCCTGGTCTGGGGGCTCCTGGGAGTGCTTCTCCAAATCCCTCCAGGGCCAGTTCTAGGTCCTGGGAACTCAAGGGATGAGTTGCAGTGACCTACCACCGCTCCCATGTCCTCATGTAACTTGTATTCTAGTGGAGAGGTGACAACCATCCCTTGAGACAGGATGAAGCTTAGTTGCCAATCACTGAGGCATTAAAGGGTGGGTGAGGGGACATGTGGTGCCAGGAGGCCACACAGGAGTGAGTTTAGGGTATTCGCAGTGCTGGCTGAAGGCCACCGTAAGGGAGGGGAGAAGAGGAGGAAGTGAGCCGGCAGGGGCAGGCCCCGGGGTCCCCCTTGGCCTTGGTGAGCAGTCTGCATTTCACTTTGGCAGTGGAGGCTGCATGACTCACAGTCACGTGAGTCAGGTAGTCGCTGGATGGAGGAGGGGGTGCAGTGGGGTGTATAAAGGCTGGAGGGATCAGCTCTGCCTGGGCAGTACTGGAGGGCCCAGGACCATCTGCGTTCATGCCTGGTGACCTCTATTACTCTCAGAATCATCCTGATCTGGATGATCAATTACATGGTCAGCTTAGTTATGGACACCCTCATAGAGAAAGGGATGCCGAGTTCTGCCTCCTGTAAAAGCAAGACTTTCACAAGGCAGACAGTAGGAGAGAGAATTCCAAGTCCTGGAAATAGGAAATGCATGAATGTGTTGGGAATTGCGGGAAGCTTTGTAGGGACCACAGCTGGGCTGTCAGGAGACATGTGCAGGACAAGGGGCAGGCAGGAGGGGCTCAGAAGGGCCTCAAGGAGGTGGGACCCACCCTTGCAGCCCTGGGTGGTGAGGGTCACAGAGAGTTCAAGGTCTGGGAGAGGTGTGATCAGGCTTTGCTTTAGAGGGATCTCTGTGGGGGCTCAGGCAGGGGGAGCCAGGCAAAGAGGAACCGAGGTAGGAGGTGCTGTAGTGTCCCATGCCCGAAGCGCCAAAGGCCTGAACTACAGCAGGACCATGGGGATGGAGAGAAAGGACAGGCATGGAGAGCAGAGAAGACTGCAGGACAAGGAAGGGCATCGGGGCCGGGCCCAGGTGGAGAACGGGGGCAGCTGGAGAATCCCAGGTGAGGACCGTGCAGCGTCTCTCGCAGAGAGGAAGAGAGTGGCAGGCGGGGTGACGCTCCCCGAGTGCCCATCCCCTGCCACAGCTCTCTGCGTTTCCCAGCCTTTCTTGTAGTTGGTGCAGGCGTAATAACTTGAGAGAATTCCAAGTCCTGGAAATAGGAAATGCATGAATGTGTTGGGAATTGCGGGAAGCTTTGTAGGGACCACAGCTGGGCTGTCAGGAGACATGTGCAGGACAAGGGGCAGGCAGGAGGGGCTCAGAAGGGCCTCAAGGAGGTGGGACCCACCCTTGCAGCCCTGGGTGGTGAGGGTCACAGAGAGTTCAAGGTCTGGGAGAGGTGTGATCAGGCTTTGCTTTAGAGGGATCTCTGTGGGGGCTCAGGCAGGGGGAGCCAGGCAAAGAGAAACCGAGGTAGGAGGTGCTGTAGTGTCCCATGCCCGAAGCGCCAAAGGCCTGAACTACAGCAGGACCATGGGGATGGAGAGAAAGGACAGGCATGGAGAGCAGAGAAGACTGCAGGACAAGGAAGGGCATCGGGGCCGGGCCCAGGTGGAGAACGGGGGCAGCTGGAGAATCCCAGGTGAGGACCGTGCAGCGTCTCTCGCAGAGAGGAAGAGAGTGGCAGGTGGGGTGACGCTCCCCGAGTGCCCATCCCCTGCCACAGCTCTCTGCGTTTCCCAGCCTTTCTTGTAGTTGGTGCAGGCCACGCGAGCAGCTCCTGCCAGCGGGAATGCGAGCAGAGGGCATGTATTGCTTCCCAGGAAGTTAGCAGGGGGTGAGGTCCTCCACGTTTTCTACCTCCTGAGAACTCCAAGATGGCAAAATGAGGTGACAGCAGCTTGATCCCTGAGTCCCTGTTTGAGGAAGGCAGCCTGACCTATGAAGTAAGCCTGTAGTGAGCATGGAGCCTCTGAGGCTTGGGGGACTTAATGCCACTGTCTTGTGTCCTGGTTGCTCAAGTGGAGGGTGATGAGGCAGGAGGAGGAGACAGGTCATGAGGGCAGGCTGATCCACAGAGAGGAAGAGGACATTGCAGTGTCTCCCCGAGTCTCATCAGTCAGTGTGTAAGGACATAGAGGGCCAGAGCTGCTTTTTCCCATGCATCTGGAAGGGAGAAAGTCCTATAATATTCGTGTTCATGTAATCTCCGAACCCCTCATGGTTTGGCCTGTGGTCTGCTGGGGCAAGGCTGTCCTGGAGGAGGGGCCAGCAGCCAGCAGGACAGTCCCGCTGTTGTCATGAGGCTGCTGCTCCCCAGTGTCAACCACTGCCCTTCACTCATGTGCCTGGGATCCCTGGTGGAAAACTGAGGTTCTCCCCACAGAAGACTGCAAAATGGTCAGAATTCAACAGCACAATCTAATTCCAAGGCTCTACCAAACTCTGAACTTTTAATTATAGCACCAGTCCAACACCCATTGGATTCAGAAAACAGGAGCAAATCCTCAGCAACCAAGGCAGCTGGTCCAGGCAAAGCAATGTCCCCGTATTTCCGTATTTAGTAAAATCCACATCCGTGGTGACTTCCATCAGAGCAGCATCTAACCAGGCCTGGCTCCGTGCCTTGCTGTTCTGCTCGGTTATGCTTTGTGGATCTTGTCACCTCTCTGCAGGTCCTTAAAGCCCTAGTTTGATACATTTCTTGGGTTTTTCCCTCTAGGCACAGATCATTATTGCACTTTGAAACTAGCTTAGCTTCCAAATTGCCTGCCAAACAGTTCCACGTTCTGTGGATTTTGCTTCCTTTGTGTGCAACTGTCTTTTTGTCTTTCTTTTTTCACTTTGGAAGCTTTTAGGATATGCTGGTTCCCCGTGTTCTACACCTTCAGGCTGCTGGGCCTGCGGATGGGTCTTTTTTCTATTCGTTTTGCTGGTCACTGGGTAGACCCTGTCTATTTAGGAACACTATCTTTTAGGGCTAAGAAACTTTCTCGACCTATTTTTTTTTCATAATTTTCACCCTTCCTCCATCTTCTCTTTTCCACCTTTCTGGAACTTCTTTTAGTTTTCTTTCAGACCTTCTGGATTGCTCTCTTTCGTTTCTTATACTTTTCTCCTACCGTCCATCTCTTTTTTTTTTTTTTTTTTTTTCTACTTTCTGGGATATTTCTTAAACCTTAACATCCAAAAGTCTTACCCAGTTGTTTTAAAATTTTTAGTTGTTGTGTATTTTTATTTCTAACAATTCTTTTTTTATTATCTATTTAATTTTTATACCTTCCTGCTCTTTTTTTTTTGCATTCAATTTTTTTCTCCATCCGCTCTAAGAATATTTTTGTTTTTTATTGAAACATAATTGATTATACATATTTGCGGGGTTCAGAGTTGACTACTAGTATTTGTGTACAGTAAGTGATGATCAAATCAGGATAATTAGCATATGCATCATTGCAAAACGTAGTCATTCTTTGTGTCCATTAACCAATAGCTCTCCTACTCCCCTCCCCCTCCCCCTTTCCCACCTCTAGTAACCCCAGTTCTGTTCTCTCCCTCTGAAAAGTTCAACATACTATTGTGATTGCCCTTCCTTCCTTCCTTCCTTCCTTCCTTCCTTCCTTCCTTCCTTCCTTCCTTCCTTCC